ACCCATACTTAGTAGCAGAAACAAAGCCAACAAGAACAGTATTAGGCTTTTCTTCTTCATATTCTCCTCTCTCTAACAGATGAGGAGATGCAGTGTTTGTTGATGTATGTATATATACAAAGAACCAAACAGATAAATACATGGAGATATTTGACTTTTTGGTGATTTATATTAATAACAATAAATTAAATGGTTTGATTTAAATAAATAAATAAAGAAGAAGAAGAAGATGATGAGGCTAGCTTTTATAATGAGATCATAAATGCTGCATGGAGAAATGGGCGATTATATATATATAGAATTAAATTATGATGACAAGGAAAGGTCGATGAAGGACAGAGAAGTCAAAGCTTTGGCATCTTTGAGTCAACGCTTTTATTTCGTTTTCCTAGGAAACATCACCTCTTCTTTGTTTTCTCTTCATTTTCAATATTACATTTTTTTTCCACTTTCAATTTATTTTCCCTTTAATTCAGTAAACCAATATTACTACTTAATTATCTTTCCATAATTTCTTTTGCATTCATATCTACCTCTTGCCAGTAGATGATGATCCAAAAAGAATCGTCATTGGGGATAATATATAACGTAATTGGAGCATTTCTTTTTTAATTATTGCAAAATACAGTATGCGTGCGTACATAAGTAAATCATAAAAAAATTTACAAAAATATGTATATAATTGTTGCGTTGGAGATTTTATATCAAAATGTAACATTTTTTAGAATGAAATAAATCTAAGAAGGGGGAATAATAAAAGGATCTGAAATACCAAATTTTACCATTTCAAGAAAATAATTGTAGATCATAATCATCCTATAATTTCAAGCCTTAAAAAGATATGTTCGATGGAGAGCTCATTTGTTTATAGACTTCCAAAGCCACTAATTATTTTTTTCAGTATAATCACCGACAAGCACACGTAATCACGTGTGCACTAGTTAATTGGTATTCAAAACCCATCAAAATTAGAGCTCAACATTGTGATTATCCTTAATTATTTTTTAAAATTTAACCCATTATTGTTTATTATTAAATGTTTTTTTTTTCTAAAATTAATTGGTATCTCGCTGCTTTTCCTGCATTTGGAGAAGGGTTATTAATTATTTGGTTTTCTTCCATTTTAAATTGATCTTTTTCAATTTAAAAATGATATAGGGACAAAAATCTAAAACTTATAGAATTAAAATTTTCAATTTTCCATTGATTGATAATATGTTTTCCTTGTAGTTTCTGTTTTATAGCACTTCTCTTTTATTTTATACATTAAATCATTTTTTTTGTCATTTATGTGACATGTCTGACTAAAAAACGCTCAAACATGATTTTTCTATCACAGATTTATTATTATATAACCCTTTTATTTTGGATAATTTACGCGTAAAAGGAGAGAAATCTAGAAAAGTGTAGAGAGAGTGATGTAGATAACATCAGTTGGGAAATTATTTTAATAATATTGGGAAATTATTTTAATAATAATAATAATACAAGTAACACACCCACATGACTTATTAGGGATTTGAGTTGTCCTGTCAATTTATCCTTATTTTTCTTGTGTTTTGGAATTAGAAATTGAAAAACTAATTACTTTAATGTGGGGGAAAGGACCAAACCACTGATTTGAATCCGACCAGAACCTCTGACCAAGTCGGAGACTTTGAAGCGCAAACTTCTAACTCATTCAGAGGGTTCTGATTGAAAGTTTTAGATTCAGCAGTAGCCCTGAAACAGAGCATATATTTGCCGAGTAATGAGCCAGATCGTGAACTCATTCAGAGGCTTGTGCGAATCGAAGGCTTCGAGTAGTCCTGCTTGGATTGGACTCGCTCTGATCCACGTTTGCTTCTGGTATTCGAGAGAAAGCAAATCCCTTTTTGTTCCTCTGATAGACGAGGCGACCAAGGCCAAAGAGCTTCTGCGTTCTTGGTGGATGTAATTTTCTGATTGTTTCTCGAGAAATAGTCTGGTATCGGCTACTGGTGAGAAAATCCGAAATGGGTTTTGTCGAATCGCTGAAATCGGTGAACTGGGATCTCGAATCGTACCCGACGTTCCAGGATTTCAAGGTTCTTCCGCTCTTTGCAGTTTTCTTCCCATCGGTTCGGTTTCTTCTCGATAGGTTCGTTTTCGAGGTAATATAATCAAATGCGTTTGGATTGTTGTTTTCATATTTCTTCATACGCTTGCAACTGTTTCTGAAGTCGCATTTATTTCTCTGTATATGTTTTCTTTTTCCCTTTTTTTTCCCATCATGTTTCCGCCTGTTCATTTTTCTTTTTAAAATAACTTAAATTACCTTTAATTGGATCCTACTTATGTTGTGGTTTCTTGATTGGAAGTTGCTAGAAGGTTAATCATTACTAGTCTTTTTGAGAAAAAAGCTGGTTGATTCTATGATTTTCACACCATGGTTTTTGGTTTTGGAAATGCTGGTTATCGTATACTCTTGCGGATGCAAACTTAGAGGAGATTGTTGGTTAGGGTACTTTGAATGTGCAAAAGTTTTAAACTTTGTGAGTTTAATCCCATTTTAACTTGACCCTGATGACGGAGACGTTGGTACTTGTAGAAATTGGCCAAAGTTTTGATCTATGGGAAACAACGGAATATGGGTGATGACATAAAGGAGAGAAGGAAGAAAGTCCGGAAATTCAAAGAGTCGGCATGGAAATGTGTCTACTACCTGTCAGCCGAGATTCTTGCCCTATCTGTGACTTATAACGAACCTTGGTTTAAGAAAACTCGATACTTTTGGGTAGGGCCAGGTGATCAGATGTGGCCTGATCAACAAATAAAGTAAGATAATGCAGATTCCCTTTATCATGATCCTTTAGTTCAGTTGTTGAGTTATTCTTTCATTAGCTATAATATTTTTACATTTTCAGGGTAAAGTTGAAGTTGTTGTATATGTTTGCTGCTGGGTTCTACACTTACTCCATGTTTGCTCTGATATTCTGGGAAACGAGGCGTTCCGACTTTGGAGTTTCCATGGGCCATCATATCGCTACTCTTATTCTTATTGTGCTATCCTATTTATGTAGGTATGCTTCCTTACACATCCCATTATCGGAAAATGTTATGAATCAGAGGGTTCTTGTGGAGGGAAACATTCCACCTCACTTTGGTCTTCTTGTCTTTTTTGTTCATAGATTCTCCCGTGTTGGTTCTGTTGTGTTGGCACTTCACGATGCCAGTGATGTGTTCCTGGAAGTGGGGAAAATGTCCAAATACAGCGGAGCTGAAAGTATTGCGAGCTTTTCATTTATTCTCTTCGTCTTGTCTTGGATCATACTTCGCCTTATCTACTATCCTTGCTGGGTCCTTTGGAGCACAAGGTTTGCATATATTAGTATCCATTATTCATCATATACTTTCTTTTTTCTTCCCATTCATTCACATAATTCTTCTTGACTTATGGTATCATTGTAAAAATATCCACTGCAGCTATGAAGTTCTTTTGACGCTTGACAAGGAAAAACACCCGGTTGAGGGACCAATCTACTACTACATGTTCAACGTGCTTCTGTATTGCTTGTTCATCCTTCACATTTATTGGTGGGCTTTGATATTCCGGATGCTTGTGAAACAAATACAGGCCAGAGGCAAGCTTAGTGAAGATGTCAGATCGGGTAAGTGAAAATTATTTTTCCACAAATCCATCTTTGGTATCCATCCAAGTAGAATATTCAAGAAGTTTATGTCTTTCTGCAGATTCTGAAGGTGAAGATGAGCATGAAGATTGATAGCAATGATTCCAAACCCTCTATACACTCAATGGTACATTTTCATCCTTACACACATGTGTTTTCTCACCATTTGGTTGTTCTTAATCTACAAGTTCAAAACATTTTGATTTTATGTTTCTCTGTTTCATCATCTGAACCAACAGATTAAGACATAGAGAGAGAGAGAGACCTTCAGCCATTGACAACTGACAAGCAACGAGTGCATGTTCTACTAAACTAACACCTTGCTCCATCTTCCTGAGTGTTGTAAGTGCTAAGTTGCCTTATGGATCAGATGAAACCCGTTTCCATGGGTTCGAAGAACTCTGGAAAAAAAACATTTTTTTTTTCCGTTTTCCAGGATTTGGATCTTTCTTCTCCATTGGAATTGTGTCCATTGATTTATTGCCACATTGCTAAAACCATTCAGTCTTTGGTTCATAATGTTAAAAGTCGGTTCGTCTCAGTATATGTCTTTGCCTGTTTCTGTATATTACTGTGTTTTATTTAGTAGCATTTTTGCTAGCTATAGACCAAGCAAACTTGAAGAACTTCCATCTCTTTACAACCCTTGCTCAAACATCATAATTTCATCTCTTCACAATCTCTGTGATAAAATCATATCTGCAAATTATCCATACAATCTTCAAGTAAAATCTTCCTGACAAATGTTCCAGAACTTACAATGTTGTCTTGGTCGGACAGACTGAACCAACACTCTTCTAGGTCTGCTTCTCCGTCAAAGGTACATTTTCTCTCTCCGTCTCTCTCCCATTTTCTCGGCAGCCAAACACTAATATTTCTCTTTTCTTCCTGAGTAATTCTGCTAGGGGTTTATGATGCTCTCAGTCGCTTTGAAACTTCAGAAAGTTATGTGGATATGGGAAATGTTTTGCTAATTTTCGAAACTTTAATTGTTCTTCTGTTGTTTTATCATCCAGTTTTTTAGATTTAGAATTCCTTGGATCAGAACATGGCTTCTTGTATGAGACTATTAGATGGGACGATTTTGTGTGCTTCAACGAGCATTGTGTTGATATCCACAGCGTTTCTTGTCCAAGTCCGAATTGGTCATATCATATTCATAGATCTGTCTCAGACCGTAGGGATTGAGTTCAAGTTTCAGTCTTGAAACACAGATTTGTAAAAAAAAAAAAAAGAGAGAGCTGGATTTTGATTATTACCAAGACGATAAAGCGCTGGTAAACGCAAGATTTGTGATTAGATTTTTCTTCTAAGCTCTGAAGTTATTCTCACGTAGTTCTTTGGGAACACAAGATTTGTGATTAGATGATTGAGGTTTCTTTTGCTGCATTGCTTGTTGGATTCAGCTCAGATGCATGATGGCAATATATATGAGAAGACATGGAGAAACTTCGGTTCCCAGCAATTGAAATGCATATGTGTTTACTTTTACCAGAACCAACGGAATAAGTCTAGTTTACATATGTTAGTGCATCAATATCAATCTTATCTTTGTGGTCTTGTCCTAACAGTTTCATTCATCAGCAACTTAATCGCATCTTTGATGTTTGTGTTGCACAGAACCTTGATCAAATCCTGAAATGGAAGACTTACTAACTGAGATCTCTCCACCGTCAAGATTCTTCCAAGAAGATCTCAACAACTTTGTCTCTCTCCATCCGATCACGTTCCATCTCCATTCATCGTCATGTCCAGCCCAAAGCCAGAGATGCCTCTTCGACCGTCTTTGCTCACCATATCCATTTCTTCACCATCTCTATAAATCTTCCACAGTTTATCCTCTAAAACCCTCATCAGAAGTCCCCTCATGCCTGAAATCCCGTTTTCTGAAAAACACTGTTGAACCCTCTCATTAGGAGACAGATCCTGCAACATATATTCCGTCAATGGCACCAACGATTATTTGATTCTCCTTGTCTCAATCCAGCTCTCTGTATCTCCATTGGTCAAGAATTTATCCCCGAGAGGGTTATAATCTCGGATTCCATTCAAAGTCGTAACTTCAGGGTTAGGCTCTCACCAGATATGACTCGTACATATAAGCTCGAGACATCCTCCGAATGAAAAGCAGCTGCTGGCAGCAATTCTAGACACTGGTCTGGCGAATCTGGAATACTATCCACCTGAGAGTGTGGTTGATGGCCTGAGTTCCGCCCTTTTGAGCCAATGTCAGCTAAAGAGGTTGTCTCCTGGCCCGACGAGTTTGGTCCCCTTGCTGCAAGACTTGTCGGAGCTCTGGTGAAGAATTTTATCTCCGGTCTGGACTCCGTATTGTAAATGATGCTCCTCGAGGATTATTCTTCAAGAACAACAAAAAGCATTCTGGGGTGGATCATGAACTGTATGCTTGATCAACTTTGCTAGGAGAACCGACAAACTTCTCAAGTGTGTTACCGTTTTCATTACGAAAAGTCTTTGTTGCCCATGATCATGTTTTGTCTCTTCTACTCGTAGAAGTTCATGTCTCCCCGAAGTGATTATGCAGAGGTGGTACGTTATCAGAATCAAATCTCCAACAGAAAGAAAAATCATGCCCATGTCCAGATTCTAATCCTCGTACGGCATGGCATGTTCCTTTGATTGCCAACTTGAATGAAAGCTAAAAATGGTGACTTTTTTTTTCCCCTAAAACCAAATGAATCAAGGATGCGAACCGTATCAATGAGTGAATAGTGATGGTATTATTGTCGAATGAATCCGGTTTGACATTTTTGCAGTACCGAGTGAGTGATACGAGAAAACCAGAAGACAAAAAAAAAAGTTTTTTTTTTGGTGTTGCCAAACACAGCCTTAGCACGAAAGTCCCAATTCTTAAAAAAAAAAAAAAAAAAAAAAACTTTCTCCGTCGTCTCGATGAGAGCGAAGTCTCTGAATTTTTTCTTTGGCCTGTGAATTTCGTCCATACCTCCGATCAAAGAACTCCATAAACTCACAAGGAGACGGTAATCGTTTTCAGTTGATGGTATGGTTTGCGAAAGGTGAGATTTTTCCTTCTGGGTAAGGTTCTTATGTTTCTTCATTCGATTTTTGCTTTGTTTTATTGCAATGTAGATTCATCTGTATCTATTTTTCCGATCAAGGTGGGAACTTGTCCGATGCTTCCCTGGTTTCTGTTTAGAATTTGGCGGATTTCTAAGCCGGTTGATTAGGGTTTAAGATTGTGGGGTTTTCTGGGTGTGCTGAAAACGATCGATTCTTCCTAGGAACTGAGATTTCTTGTCGATCGAGAAAACAGGGGAATTGATGAATTCGGGTGTTCTGAGCAGGTTTTATGGGATTAATTTCGGTCTAAATAAAGCCTTTTCTCTGGGATGGAGTGGAGATTTTGTTCTGATCTGATATTTTATGACGCGAAGTGAGTTCTCATTAGGAATCCATTTGCTGATTTCTCTGTTTATCAACAGATGGGTGAACATTTGTCTATGGACCTTATAAGTGATCTGCCTCAGAGCATTATTGAGAACATTCTCACCCGCCTCCCCATTAGAGACGCCATAAGAACGAGCGTCTTATCGAGCAAATGGAGGTATAAGTGGTCTACCCTTACTCACCTTGTGTTTGACGAGAAATGCATCACCCCTTCCAACGAACGAGGCCTTTTGGAGAACAACCTTGTGAGATTTATAACCGGAGCCCTTCTTCTTCACCAAGGTCCCGTCCACAAATTCCAACTCTCGACCCCGTCTCTGCAATGCTGTCCAGACATTGACCGGTGGCTGCTCTTTCTTTCAAGGAATGATATCAAGGAGCTTATTCTTGAGTTAGGGGAAGGCGAGTGGTTTAGGGTTCCTTCATGTGTCTTCAATTGTACAAGACTAACCCGTTTGGAATTGTGCCATTGCGAGTTTGACCCGCCTCAGATTTTCAGAGGGTTTTCGCATTTGAGGAGTCTTAGCCTCCATCAAGTTCTCGTCGCCCCTGAAGTGATTGAAAGTCTTATCTCAGGCTGCCCTCTCCTCGAGTTCTTGTCATTGTCCTACTTTGACAGTTTGGTTCTTAGTATATCAGCTCCTAATCTCAAGTACTTGTATCTGGATGGCGAGTTCAAGGACATTTTTCTTGAAAATACCGTCAAACTAACGTCCATATCAGTTTCCATGTACATGAATGAGGATTCGGCTGAACATTTTGAACAAAGTTCAGCTTCCAATCTTATTAAGTTCCTTGGAGGTGTGCCCCTTCTCGAGAAGCTTGTTGGCTATATTTACTTCACAAAGGTAACATGATCTTTGATGCTTTGTGATTTTGATTTTAAACCTCGTTTATTATCCAGTGGCTAATGTCGCTTCTCTCTCTTTGCTTTTTGTTCAGTACTTGAGTATAGGCGATGACCCTGGAAGGCTACCAGTTACTTATATGTATCTGAAGACCATAGAACTTTACCAAGTAAGCTTTGAAGATGCAAGTGAGGTACTTGTTGTTCTTCGGCTGATCACCCACTCTCCTAATCTAAGAGAGCTCAAAATTTCGGTATTCTCTCTCTCTCTCTCCCCTTTCATTTCTTGATGAATGCCAAGTTTTCTCTAAACAAGACCATTACATCTGATGAAGCAATGAGACTAAACATATATGCATCCTATAGTTGATGTTTAGAATTCCGATATTAATCTTCGATCATCTTCCTGGATGGGTTTTGTTTCGGAGTGGATTTTCCTTCACTTATTCAAACATCAAACATGTTCCAGGGTTCGAAAGAGTGTTCCGACTACAAACTACCAAAACTTAGATACGTGAAGATCACCGATGTGTCTGGCATCAGGAATGAGCTGGACTTCATCGGATTCTTGCTCGAGAACTCTCCCTCACTTGAGACAGTTCTCATCACACCGTGTTTTTCAGATGCAGACGCGAAGGTAGATATGCTCATCGAGCTTCTCAAGTTCCCTCGTGCTTCTCCCCGAGCTCAGATCCTTTTCCTTCAAGACCGGAGCCTCTGCTGCTGAGTGCGGTCAGATGTCTAACATAACAATGTTTGGTGTAAATCCCATGGAAATGTAATGTGAAACTGATAGTGTGGATCTTCAAATTCTTTCATTAAACTTTCGGCAAAAAAGAATCATGAATGTGAAGCCAGTTTTTCACTGAATCCTATATACTGATTCAAAGGAGTCAATATTGGAAATGTTTGTTTATTGCCAGTGGAATTTGAGCTTCTTCATATCATCTTACCAAGCAAAAGTTACATATTAACAGTCTTTTGAGTGCCCCAAATCTGTACACATAAACCTAGTAATAGTATACAAAACCCTTAGTTCATCACCACCAGAAGTACCCTCTTGACATTGACATGCAACCATTGTCTGGTTCTGACAGATACCAGTCCGAGACATCTCTGGTTACCTCGGACCAGACAGCTCCATGGCTTGAACCAAGAGGGTGGAATCATCGGTAAGATCCGAATACCGTTCTGAGGAAGAGAACTCGTTGGGTCGGCTGTAACTCCGGTGGGTTTCGGAGTTCCTCTGCTGAGAAGCCTCCCATTTCTCAGCGAGACCGTCCCCTTCCAGCATCCGAACCACTTCTGACATCTTGGGACGGTGGCTAGGGAGATATTGTGTGCAGAGCAGAGCCACTTGAACCATTTCTTCTACTTCGATTCGATCGTAGTTGTTCTTCAGGTCCTTGTCCACTATCAGCTCTAGCTTCTTCTCTTGATGCACTTTCTTCACCTGCAGTTCAACCAAATACCCCTAAAATTTTAGCAGACCAAAACAAGACTCGCAGCCCATTTGGATTTTTTGCACTTTTCTTCCATTTCTTTGAGCGAAAACGACAAGAAATGTTTGAACTTGCAAGAAAGTGCCATAAAGATCGAAACTTTTTGTTTTGCTGAGACTGGAAACGTAGCTTTTGGTAAAACTTGAAACTTTTCCAATTCAATCCAAATTGGGTCATTTTGTTTTGTTTGAAAAATATGTAAAAGCAGAGGGCAAATCCTTCCTTACCCAATCGAGCATGGCACCTTTCTGGTTCGCCGCTTTACCAAACTCGAGAGCTCTCAATCCAGAAATCAGTTCGAGCAGAAGAATCCCGAAGCCGAACACATCTGTCTTCTCCGAGGACTGTCCGGTCGATAAGTACTCAGGCGCGATGTGACCCACCGTCCCTCTCACGGCGGTGGTGACGTGCGATTCACGGTGGTCAAGCAGCTTCGCCAACCCGAAATCTCCGACCACCGCCTCGCAGAAGTCGTCGAGGAGAATGTTCGCTGCCTTCACGTCTCGGTGAATGATCTTTGGGTCACATTGTTCGTGTAAGTACAGTAACCCTCTCGCTGCTCCCAGTGCGATGCGTTTCCTCGTTCCCCAATCCAATACTGGTTTTGCTGTGAGAGATCATCATCATTCATGGAGACCCACTTGTGAGAATCGAATTGTGAAACCAAAAGTTTCCAACTTTGGGCAATGGGGATGCTTTCTAATGGGGAATCGTGAAATGCGTAGAAATATAAGGTGTTGTTTTGGAGTTCTACAATGGGTAGAATCAAAATTACTACTTCGGATTCTTTCCCAAGGATAATCTTTCGAAGATCCACAGTTCTAGGTCTTGCAGAAAATCTTGCAGAACCACAAGATTGTATCTACAGAATTTAGGTATAGTTCAAGAATTTATATGGATTGCTCTGCAATGTGTAGTATGAACGCAAGAAAAGATTATACCTTTGAGACGAAAAGCAACGCTGCCATTGGACATGTAGGGATAAACAAGAAGCCGCTCAGAGGAAGTGGTGCAGAAGCCGTAGAGGCGGAGGAGGTTGCGGTGAACAGCGAGACTGATCATCTCGACCTCCATCTGAAACTGAATCTCCCCTCCAATGGCGTTTACGTCTTTTAACCTCTTCACGGCCACCACAGAATTGTCTTGGAGATGCCCTTTGTACACATTCCCAAACCCTCCTTTTCCAATCAGATTCTTGCTACTGAAGTTATTTGTTGCTGCTTGGAGTTCTTTGAAACTGAATCTCCTAAGGTTCCCTAGGCAAAGGTCTTCCCTGTTTTGCTCTGAAACTTCACGCACAGAGGAGGAACACAAAAGTCAACTTATGTTTACATTATAGAAGGTAACATCTCATAACAATTATCGATTTTATTTGCCCCCTGGTGTTGTTGATTCATCGGTATGATCGTGGAAAATGAAGAAGAAAAGGGCTTTATAGTTACCATTGACATCAAAGAAGACTTGCTGGTTATGTCTTCTTCTCCACCAGAGAAGAAAACCGAAGCCGAGAATCAACAAGCAGACGCAGGTAACGCTCAAGCCGAATGCCACTGCAAGTCTCCGGCTTTTACTTCTTCCGGAAGATGCTACATCTAACAAGTGGATTAACACTTTTTTAACTTGAGATTTAATTGCTACTATTTAAACAAGATTATATTAAACTTTTCTCAGGAATGACAAAGGAAACGAGGCTTAGAGATTGGAGTTTGGAGTTACTTTGTGAATTGTTCAAGGACAAGTACATGGGAATTGGTTGGGTCCCATTGCAGTCTTTCTCAGTCCCAGTTGGGCAAATCTGAGGGTTTCCCATGACACTGCATTCCAAAGGGGAAAGAGATATACTTTATTATCATTCAATGTGTACACGCATACATATACATGTATGTATGTACATTTCGTATAAAGATGCGTATAAGTGTGGAAGACAGTGTATCGTAATTCACCCTGTTCAGAGACAGGGTAAAACAGAGCAGACTGAATTCTTTGCAAGAAGGGACTTACTTGAATGTCTTGGCGAGTGATCTTGGAACTGGTCCACTCAGGTTATTATACGACAGATCCCTAAGAGAATTTTCAGACCAACAAAACAAAAACTCGTAAAAACAAACTTTATCTCCCCCCAAAAAAAATGAATTATAAAAGAGAAAAGATGAGAGAGAATTTACAGAAAGGTAAGTTGGGTCATGTTGGCCAAGGAGGACGGAATTGTTCCTGTCAGTGTGTTATTATTCAGCCTCCTGTTCCACATTTCCACAAGTCCCTCCATAAGTTTTCAAAGAATATATCCATTTAAAATAAAAAGGACTATATATTATTATAAATTTTTAAAAAAAAAACCGTTTATCAATGCATTATCATACCTGGAATGGGTCTAAAGCAAAACTTTAAAAATTAAAAATAAAAACATAAATATTAAGAGACATACAAGTACTGGAGACTTGTTGAGTGAGAGAGAGTGTCTGGGATTTGGCCAGTGAAATTGTTACTGGAGAGATCAAGTGTTTTGAGTTTTACAAGTCTCCCGATCTCAGAAGGAATATGTCCTGAGATATAATTGTTCTGCAGGAGCCTGTTCGAATTCCAACGAAATAAAATAAAAATATTATACAATTTCACAAAATATACCCCAAGATTACAAATTTACACAAAACAGTAATAATAACGATGAATACTCACACAGTCTGCAGATTTGTCAAGTTCCCAATACTGGGTGCGAGAGTTCCTGATAAATTCTGGCTTGGAGCTCCTCTATACACACACACACACACAGAGACACATAATCTTTAAACATGCATGTCTGAAGACACATAGATACATGCATATACACATATACATGGACGCGTGTTTGTTGTCTGATGACAGAGGAGATACAAACAAGCAGAGAAGACATGTATGTATGTGTATGTATGTATGTGTATATAGATATGTACTTACAGGGTGATGACGAGACCATCAGGAGAGCAAGAGACCATGTTCCAACTACAAGGGTCGACTGCGGTTTCGTCCCAGTTCTTCAGAACTTCATGAGGATCTACCAGAGAATTCTTTATCCCCATCAGGGCAAGAACTGAAGAACAAGAAGAAAGATTTCGTCAATCATCTTGACAAAAACGTGTTATGATTCTTGAATCGTTGGACTTGGAAAAATCTCTCTGAGTTTCAGTTCTTTTTCTTTTTAATTACCTTCATAGTTGACACCTTTATCAGTGAGCTCTGCAGAAGAAGACCCCAGAAGGAGGAAGAAGAAGATCAAAGAGCGGAAAACATAACTATGTGTCACCACTCTTCTTGTTCTTGTCTCCTCCATCTTTTGTCTCTCTGAGTTTCTGTTTTTGGTTTCTCTTAAAGTGTAAGGTTTGGTTCTAAATTTGAATATATATATATATATATATATATATATATTGGGGCTTTTCAATTCATTCTCCGACTGAGTTTTTGGCTCCCAAGCATCAGTCAGAGAGTGTTGAAACTCAGAGAGAGAGAGAGAGAGAGAGAGAGAGAGAGAGAGACGCTTGGAAATGATTTACTTTAAGGTCTTATACTGCAAACCATAATGGTAAAGTAGACGCTTTAATAACAACATTTCCTTCTTGATTGTATATTTTGTATATCGAATCTCGTGATTTGTCTTTTTTAAAAAATTATATGACAATAATTTTTAAAATAGTTATAATTTAGCAATCCATAATTCTTCAAAATGATAGAAACGAGTACGTGCCGTCTCAATCTGAATGGAAAATGAAACCTAAAACAAAGCTGCGTGTTAACGAAAGGTTGTTTTCATTGGTACGTATAATGTATTTTTGTATGGGTGTGTGTACATGCATGGCATATTTAAGCATGATATGACTATAAAATTAATTAAATCAAAGCAGGTAAAAAGTAAAATCAATCTGTTAAGCACCACTAAACTTTATATTAAAAAAATATGATAAATTCTTTCCGGAAAGAATAATTAATCAGGCAGCTTCGCATCGCACAAAGGGCGATAAAAGTCTAAAGTGAATTTGTTTTTGTTTTATTTCATTTGTAACATATCTGCACACATCTATCGCTACAATGATATGAACGAATTCAATAATATATATAATAAGGTGAGATAAAATTGTATAGTCATTTATCAAAAAAATAAAATAAAATTATATAGCCCGTGAATAATATAAGATGGGACGACCAGTCGCGCGCAAAGAGAGACAAAGTGACGCTGGAATTTGCCTTTTCCTTTTTCACGGAGTCGCTTTTAACTAAATTATTCCCACTCATCCCAAATAATTAAATATTTTTTTTATCAATTAATATCTTAAAATGTGCAGTGTCCTATATATGTCCATGGCCAAACATTTGATTTTGAAAAATCTAAAATGGAACTGAAGCGAATAAAGTATAATCTTGAGTTAAATATTAATTTCATATGATTTTTCTAAAATTAAATTAAATTAATACACAAGAGTATTAAAAAAATAAAATGGTATTAAAAAAAATGATAACCTATAAACAACGTGAAATACCAATCCTTAATTTTGGCAGTCGTCAAAATAAATCAAGTACACGTTTGCTCACCATGAAACCCGATTTCATTTAGTTATCGAAATATAACCATTAGAGTAATAACATAACAATTTTAGTCGATTATAAGAGAACGAAAACCCTAACTATGGCATCATTATGAATCTAAACATTCTATTTTTTTTATATTCCCGTAGTTAATCAGAATAAACATTCTATCTACAAACCGGATTTTTTATCTTTTTAATAATATTCCTTCCGTTTCATTTTAAATATCGTTTAAGGATACTACACACAAATTAAGAAAAATAGTGTCTTAACCAAAATACCCTTATTTATTGCACAGATAATTATTACTTCTAAATATGTAAAATATTTAAATATTATTTATTAAGGATAAATTTGGAAAAAATAATGTAAAATACATTGAAAATAGAAAAACGTCATTTATTTTGAAACAAAAAAATTGTTCTAAAACGTTAATTAAACAAAGGGAGTAATAATTAACAAAGACGTACTTGGAATCTCGAGGGGTGATCATTATCATTCTCCCTCCAAACGGCTCCCCTTAAATTCCTAATTAATGATCAATGATAGCGTAATTACTCATTCCAACTTTTATTAATCCGATAAATTTGTTACTATTGAGATTATTGTCCATTGTTGACACAAATTAATTAATTAAATCACATCCACTAATTAAACTCGTATATTTATACTTTCCAATTCTACCGTAACCTTCGACCTTAATTAATAATAGCTAAGTCTAATTATTTTCACTCCTCATTTGCCATTACTAGCTAATTATTTATCCGGCTGATTAAGATATTACAAAAGCCATAACTAATCCGATAATCTTTAATTAGATAGACTGATTAATTATAGATTTTGCTTTAATAATTTACGACCCCCTAATCAAATCTTGTCAACAGACAGTCACTTAGAAACAAGAAAAAAGCAAACAGCTTTAAAAAGCAAAAGCTGTCCACCTTCTCCTCTCTTTCATCATTGCTTCAATTTCACATTTCTTCATTTTCCCATTGGCTTGTACCCTTTTTTCAGGCAAATATCAAATTATTTTGTATTCGGTATTAATCATAATCGAATTTACGCATATTGCATTTATACTTGCCCCTGTTCTATGATCCACTTGCCTCACCAAATTTTCAGACAATTATACAACGTAAATTTCAGATATGTAAAAAAAAAATAACCATGTGAACGACCGGTTAATTAAGTTATTTATCGCGTTTATATGAAACGAAAATATATACATGGATCGAGAGGAATTATATATTTGACTGAACTGTAGTGGTCTAAAGTTACTAACAGATAAACTAATGAGTTGGATTATTATTATTATTCATCAAAAAAAATTTCGTCGGGACAATGATCACAAAGAGCTTATCTAAGCACACAAAAAAAAAAGAGAGTTCACGTAATGATTGCATGTGTTTGTGCATGGATACACGTGCAATGCGACCCTCTAACCGAACTCCGTTCTTTCTTCCTCTTCATTAGTCCCATTTCTTTGACCGCATCTCATCATTGCATTTGCAATTTCCCTTAGTATAAAATTATATAACCTTCTAGTTACTATATGGTTTCTTTTTTTTTATAAAGGTTACTATATGGTTTTATATAAGGAAAAAAATAACTAGTCCTCCCTCCGGGATATAATTTGTTCACGTGGGGCATAGTGTTGGTGCGTACACAAGAACAATATTGTTCCAAAATTTTATTAGCCCGATATAATCTGATTGGATATAGATTCATAATTTTTTTTTTATGATCCACGGCATGTGATGCAATGATTTATATGTGACCCATGGCTTATGGTAATTAGAATGCTTCCTTCGTGGGCAATGAACATGTTAATTTTGGTACCCTAATTGTTAGTTTTGAACAAATATATTCAACAAGTGTGTGTATATGTGTGGATATATCATATATGTCCATCTATATACCCATGCATGATCTTAATAAGCATATGCCCCCAAATGGGTATGAAGATATTCTTCTTTTCTTACAACTTGGTTTTGTTCGAATCCTACATCGTAGCTGTTAGTATTCGTCCTTATTGCGATATAAATGAAATATAGTCGATTTGATGTATCGGAAATCTGGAGTCATCTCATAACCTAATATATGACAATATATAACTTATATTATTATATTAGATATTGAAGTGTTTTCTTATTGGAATTTAGTTCTTGGATTTATATATTTCGTTGTTATCAACGTTTAAAAAAAATCTGATACACCAATCAAATCGGATACGAAATCAACAGTAGAATTTCTATTCCATCCCAATTGAATTGTAACCTCTTAGGAAATAAAAAATACACGGTCCATTTCCGTTACATATTACATTATTGTTACATGTGTATCCATGGGACTTTGTTTTTAATACCATTTCTGATTATATATATATATATATATATAAACCTAATTTCAAGAGTTAATTATGTGAATATAAAGATAAACGCTTCCAATTAGAGGGAAGTGCTCCGATCAATCTCAAAACCCATTTGCGCTTATTTTTCCCAAAAAAAAAAATACAAATTTCGTACTCAGAATATAAGATAAGATTTTGCATATCTAATACTCGGAAAGGTTGTCGACACACGTACACAATTTGGATCAAAATTTGGGGTCATAGTTATATATTGGTTCAATTAGTTTTAAGTCTTAAGTGCGATTCTATTTAACAAAAATCTTATATTTATCTTTGGTTCGATTCAAAATTTATTTGGATTACCTATTTGAGTTTGGTTTTATTAAAAAAATTATTTTATAAATAAAAGTTTGATTTTATCTATTTTTCACTTATTTTTAAATTCAATTAAGATAATTTTATAAAGATATAACTAATCGATTTTTCAAATTGGATTCGATTTGTGTATAATAACGTATTATTCTAACGATTTACTTCATATTTCTCGATCAAAATAAATATATATTGTGAATATCATTTTGGTTCGTACTATTGTTCCTCCACTCGCAGGGTTTTGATGGGTCATATTCACAAATTCTATTTTGTCTCAATTAGGGCCACGATAAAAGGGGGGAAAAAAGGTTAGCATAAATTCTTTGATAAAGTCGGGAGACACAAAAGCAATTAGGACAACTCGCACCCCCTCTTTCTCCTTCGCTTTTTCCTTGTAGTGCTTGTGGTTAGAATCCTTTTTATTCCATTTTCGTAATTTTTGTTATTTCTTTAGAATTCCTTGTTTGTTATTATCATTATTTTTTTTATAATTGAAACGAAATATAATTAAAATTCCAAAACCCTAAACATCCTTTGTCGAGATTTCAATGTTCTGTCCATATGCCAAAATCATAGTGTCCACACAATTCTCACGTTGGAGTACGGAGATAAATTGAAATAAAATGTGATTCGCTATCCCAATATATTACAATGATTAAACATTGATTAGAGAGACATAGAGTCCGGTTGTAGTCTTTCTTTCTGATTTGATACACTCTACGTGAAATTGGGAAAAGGCCAAAGTCTCATTTCACATCAATTCACAAATTCACTAACCAAACCAAAAAAAAAAAAAACAAAAAAAAAAAATAGACCAAACAAAATGACTTTTTTTTTTCCCGACATCGAACATGGCCCCTCCAAGATCTTCACGTTACAAATCTTGTGCATGCAATGCATCAGCCCCTTCTTTCATCCTTTTCTCTTGCTTTGCTAAATTCCAATAGATATTATTTTTGGTACGATCGTATCAAGACATTTTCTTAGTATTCCCTTTCGCTTTTCGTAATATTTTAATACCATAGGCTGCTTTGTTGCATGCAAAGGCTAGGCTGTTGTATGAAGTGACTGACCATTCGACAAAACAATCACTTATACCGACAGTGCGCGTATTTAACAAAAACTAAGCAAATATGTACGATTTCGAAATTCAAATTTATGGTACTTTTCTATATCCATGAAACCCATTTCATTAAATATCATCTTGCAAGTGATCCAAGAATGCGTTGGAGAGTTCTAACTCGATCATGAACAGATGCATTGAATGCAATCTATACACACAATCCACGAAAGGAAATGGGCAACAAACATGAAATAGATTTGGAGCAGACCACAGTGAAAAGCTTCAAACTTCAGACACAAATCTTCTGGTGCAGCCACCAGAGAAACTACACAGAACAACATTCAAGTCTTCACAACACGACACAACAACACAAACTGCAATCATCGTAACATAACATGTCCACACAGATCTGCAATTTGCCTTTTTTATTCTGACAGAGAAACTAAACGGAAACAGAATGAAACATAAACCCTTCACTCTTCCTCTTCTCCTTCAACCATTTCTTCCTCTTTCCAGCAACAAGCAAGAGTCGACTTAGGAGTGTCACATTCCCCACTCTTGACAAACTTCTGGTAGACAACTGAACCCCCGAGTTCAAGCTCCTCTAGGCATCTCTCTTTGCTGCAGTATCCCTTGACGTCCACCGCTGAGCAGCTGTGGTTCAGCAACTCGGTTCCAAGGTCCAAGTGCACAGCCATGGAGAATTCTCCCGGTTCGAAACAATCCAATACCCTCTTCACCAGCTCGTTCAGATTCAGGTTCTTCAGGTCATACCCAACAGTTTCAAAGCTTGCGTAGCTGAACCCATCTTCTGGTGTCACGTGGATGGTCGAGACTGCATCTCCTTCAATGGAGTTCATCGAATAGCCACACGGGTCGAACTCAAAGTCGCAGTCCTGCTTCAGCAACTCGGCTCCAAGATCGGCGTGTACAGCTATGGAGAATCCTCCCGGTTTGAAACAAATCAATACCTTGTTCACCAGCTCGTTCAGGTTCAGGTTCTTCAGGTCATACCCGACAGTTTCAAAGCTCGCGTAGCTGAGTCCGTCCTCAGGTGTCACATGGATGGTCGAAACTGCATCTCCTTCCACGGAGTTCATCGAATAACCACATGGGTCGAACTCAAAATCACAGATTTCTGAACCCGGAAGGAATTTTCTAATGCCGGAGCCTATGGTCATCTCAGCTGCTGAACCCGAATGACATTTGTAGAAAACAGAAGCTTTTTCCCTGTCCAGTCCAGTCATGCAAATCTCCAATGTGTAGACAGGTTCACAGCAAACAGATGCATCTGCAGAGGTGGCAGAATAGACATGCCACCTTTGAGGGTTACTCTCAGTCCCTCCCATCACAAAAGCCTTGCTTCCTGAGCCGAGCTTACCAAAATAGCCATCGAGCACACTGACTTCTTCAGAGAAGCTACGGTGAGGGTACGACTGAGCTCCCGGGAAAATAAAGCTGCCACGAGTGTAGCGGGCAGATCTAACAGCAAGAGAAAGGGAATCCGCCAGCCTCAAAATGGGTGGGATTGATAAGAGCAACTTCGTAGTGCCACACGTTTTGATGATGATCTTGTAAGGATAAACAAAGAGGCTAGACTCCGAGAGCACATATGAATCAACATAAGCATTTGACAGCGATGACACGATAGTGCACTCTGCCGGGCCCAGGAATTCATCCAACTGGGATTTAGAGAGAGCCCGAAGGCCCTTCCCCTCAGGATCAAGAAAGACACTAGGCTCATGAAATGATATTTCGAGCCTCTTCTCAAAACCTTCGAAACCAATAGCAGAGACTGTCATTTTTAGACCAAACTACTGTAATGGAGCAGCAAAGAAACTAGTAAAGGGGCTATGGACGGCAAGAGATCGCAATTGCAAAGAGACCAGAAGAGGAAGAAGAGGCTGAAGGAGAGGTTGGGCAGGAAAAAAGCAAGTAAATTTATGCTACAGCCAGGCAGTGATGAACCACGTTTAGTGGTTAAAGCGAAAAACTTTGAGGAATATCAGGATGGTTTGCGGGTGATCTGCAAAAAGAAGAAAGAAACCAACGAAAATATTAGCATTTCATAAGAAAACAACACATGCTTTCCCTGTTTCCCCTCATCAATGGAAATGAGAGTACTAACGTTTGAGTAAGCAGCAGATCTGAACTTCTTGATTCCCCCGTTTGGTCGAACGTCTTCAATGCTGTATCCGAGAGGAGCTTCGTAGAAAAGAACCCTATTACTATTACTACTACTACTACTAGACTTCTTTTTCCCACCTTTAGTCTCCATTGATCATTCGCTTCACCTGAATAAATCATCAAGCATCCAGATTGATGAGCGAGTAAAATGGCATCAAAAGATTAATACAACTCAATAGACCATAGAGCAGCATGCTTTACAAAACAATTATCATCCAGAGAAGACTACTAATTTAGAAACCCAGATCAAGTTGTAACACAAAAAAAGAGCAACCTTTGAACCCATTTGAACATCATCCATGAACCAAGAAATAATCCATCAAAAGGGCTGAAGCAGAATAAGCAAAAGTACACAACAGATACATGATAAAGAACATAGATAATCACGACTCAAAGCATCGCAACTCAAAAAATTATCAAAATTGAAATCAGAAACGCGTCACTTTACATTTAAGACTGCAAATATTCACCTATGCTAAAAAAAAAGTAATCGTCAAGCGCACATCAGATGAAGGAAACTCATATAAATCAGAAGCAAAAACAATAAATATATTGCAGGTTCCAATATATATTACCCACTTCCGGATCATCAAATGCTAATAGAACTTATAACTCTAATCCAACTTTTCGTATCGCGAATAACGGGCATGTAACAATAATCGCAAAGTTAGAAGCTTTTCATATCGCGAATCCAAGAAAAACCCTTTATGCTTAACATTACCAGGAAACATAGCAAGAAGTTGTGAAGAAAGCTTACAAGACAAAGTTTAAAGATTTACGAATCACCCAATTCTTGAGACCCAGAAACCCTAGCGCCAAAGATCTGCGAATGGTAACAAAAAGAGAACACACCAATTAAACACGGAAGGGGAAACCCTACAAATTCCAGAATCAGAAAACGATAAAAAAAGGTTGAAACTTACATGAAATGACAGGCGGATCAATTCAGAAACAGATCAGATTGGAATTCGGAATCGGAAAAGGATGTGTTTTTGAATTCTCTCCTTTCTTTTTCTTGTTCTCTTTTGTTGACGAAGCTCTCTGCGAGAGGCGAAGAGTTCCACGGGACGGAATTTATACAGAGGTGAGAGAGAGAGAGCCTAAATTGCTATTTGAATTTACGGATTTGCCCCTTTACTCAAAAAAGGTAGTAATTATTATTTTGGCCCTTTAAACGTATAGTGTGCATTTTCAAACCTAACGTCAGATGACCAATAACGAGGCAATAATATCGGGGTTACCATATAATATTTTTTCCCCATTTTCTTAAACTAGGTTATTCTATGTATTTATCATATGAAATGTGTAGAAAAAAAAATATAATTTTATTGAAAATAAAATTCAATGAGAAAGTGTGATCAATAACGTCATATTTTTTATTAATGATTGTAAAACAATATTTGGGACATAATAGTTAATAGATTCACCCTCATTATACATAGCAGATTCGTGTGAGCGGACACCCATTTTCTTTCCAACGTTGAAATATTTTTATTGAAATTAAAAATTGAATTTTCCAACATTTTATATCACGCAAAACAACATATATGGTTTTGTTAGGTATATATTACCTAATGATAACAGCAACACTATTGTAACAAAATGCACCAAATGTGTTGAACATGTATAGCCAAACTCATATAGATAGAAGATACATTTTCTTTACTATCGTAAGGTAATTGAATAATGTATTACTAATCTAGCGTTTTCTAAAGTTATTATATATTGTTATTAGTAAAGAATAGACAGATGATAAGAATAATAATATAATACATTATTATTATTTAATATTATTATTATTATTAAAAACATGTCATACATACGTTACTGCAAAAGGAAAAAAAATAAAGGAAGAAATAAGAAAGAAGCGACGTCGTAGACCAAGACGCGATTCACGTGATAAGACTCCGACTCATCACAAACGCACCACATAACTTTTATATTATTTTAATATATATATATATATATATATATATGCGTGTGTGTGCACGCGCTTTACATGTTCATTTTAAAATTTTAATTCACCTTTAATTTTAGCTATTAAGTTGATTGTCTTTTCTCTGATTAAAAATTGCACCTATGATATGGAGCCTTTCGGTGCAAATACAATTCTAAAATCTTTCTAGAAATTAAATAAAAGCTAATGATCTCAAACATATTATTTGTTTTTTATTATGCTTTTTTCGAGGAAATGATTTTGAATTTTTTAAATAAAATATTTTACGGTCTTTTGCGTTAGAAAATAAAAGATGTATTCGTGTACCACTCACGAGTTTGCTTCTTCGTTTGATCTCCGAATTATTGGTCTACTAATTATATTCATACGAGAAAAAAAAAAGTAATATTATATTTATATATGTCCAAAGATCTTTTGTCTAACACGGCAACTTGCAGATATTGACATCTTCTGTCAAGAGTTATATATAAAATGTAATATTTATTAATAATAAAGGGTTGAGGTTTTCTTCGAATCTCTATTTTTATATTATTCGTGAGATAATGCATATCCATGATTTATTATGTAGAAAGTTCAACAATATGAAATTTGTTTTATTATTATAGTTATAAAAGATGAATTTTGAAATGGTGAATGTTGTCATGTTTTTTAAATGATGCTTAATGTATTTATCTGTATTTAGAAATCGATTTTTATCATAAAGAAAAATTTTCAAGTCTAAAATAATTTCATGTGAATTTCTTCATTTAAAAATTTCGCGGTTAAAAATTATTTTAGATGACTATTTAAAACAAGACGGTTGATCCACCAACTCCGGAATCGCGTATAATTTAATATTTTTCTCAATGTTAGCCCGTATTATATCGCTTACAAATACATCGTGGTAGATATAATTATTCAAATATAAAAAACTTTTAGGATGATATATAATTTAAAGTTTTCCAAGAGTAGGTTCATATCTTTAAATTTAAATATACATCATAAACAACTTCATGTAATTAGACATATTATATTTTTATCATGAATTTAATTGGAAAATTTTAATCTCGCGGAAATTCATTTACGCGGACTTGTTGGATGATCAAAATGGTCCTAAGCCCATGTATCATGTAATGTGGGCCTTGGACTTCTCCTTTGATCGTGAAAATGATTTCTCCTAATTCATATATATTTATTTTCTTGCCGTATAATAATAATACACGCATTTTTTTTTCGGTTTGACCTTGTAAATGGAACAACATCTCGTATAGTAAATCCATCGATCCCTAAATAATAGCCGATAAAATCACGCGGAATAGTTAAACCAGTCAAAATTTACCGGTTTAGGAGAAGTTTAAAAATAATAATAATACACGCATTGAATAACAATAATAATTTTCTTAAAAAAATGTTGACTTATGGATACGAAAATAAGGATTTGATTTCAAACGCTCATTCTTTATATATATATACACACACACACGAATTATTTTACTCGAATAAAAAGAAGGAAAAAAAATGAAAAATAGGTAAGATCTTCAACTTGCATTGGCCATGTTACTACTGATAAAATATACAGCCACCAAAAAAAAAATACATATCCAACAAAATTGTTATAGGAATCACTAGAGATACAAAAAAATGCACATTAATTCTTATGTATTTTGTATATTTTTCTATTTGCTAAAATAAAACAATGCATGATATTGATACTTCAAAAACAAAAACTAATAATTTTGTGGACATCCTATTGAGAAAGCAACTTTCAGTTTGTTTTCAAATAAAAAGCATAAAATTGGCATATTCCATTTCAGAAAAAAAAAAGAAAACAAAGAAAAGAGAAAGGAAAGAATACGATCCCATAAATAGGATTCGCGGTTTCTTTCGGAATAAACATTTTGAGGTACCATTAAGAATATATATATATAGGGAAATATATTTTATTTATGGATACAAAACTTCATTTATAGAAAAAAAAAGTGTTGTATTTGAATCCAAGAAGAATGAGTTATAAAAAACAATTTTTACAATTAAAATATTTTCAAGCTTAAAAAAGTAGAATATCTAGTAATTATATAAAATCTGTTAGATCTCTTGGTAATGCATGAAATACCGACAAGTTCTATCTAGTGTGTGATGCAATATAATAACAAAAAAAAAATGATAAATTATTCTAGAAACGAAAAAAGGAAAAAATGTGTGATCTCTTCCATTACGAGGTTCATGAGATATAAATGAATTTAAAAAACCATTTAGATTTAAAAAAAATAAGTCATGCATGATTTATTTTTCAATATTTTACGTATAAAATAGTTTAACAATTTGTTATGTCGGCATCTTAACGAAAGCAGCTTTTTTTCTTTTCGTAAAAAAAAAAAACTTTCGGTGTGCATTTGCATTATATACACATACATATTCCTTTAAAATGAAAATGAAGATAAAGAAAAAAAAAAGGAATATGATTCTGTATTTTACTATTAAATTTTTATAATATAATAACAAATTGCATTTCTAGGCTGTAATGGAAAACATGCCTATTACAAACATTTTACTAAGCCAACTAATCTAATTTGTATTTATATATCAGTAATAATTAACCTTATTCTACCAGGAATAAGACATACATTAACATTCCACCGCAAAATTTCCTAATATGTGATTCATTGTTTAAATATATTATTTCATATTATAGTTGACCCAACAAATTTGGATATAAAAATGGAAAGTTTATGATACATTACTGGAGACGTAAAGGTTAAAAAAAAGGCGGTGTTCCTTTCCTAGATTAAAAATAAATGGAAATTTAATGATATTGAAGACGTAATTATATTTTTTTTTATAAAATGGTGTTTGTTTCCGAGAGTAAAAATAAAATAAAATGTGTTGTTTTTTTGAAATTTTCCTATAGACGGAAAAGATCGTTTTATAGGTACGAAGATTCGGAAGAAACGCAAAGCCTTGGTTTCCCCCTTCGTCTCGATTGGCCTCGTTTAGGGCGGGAGAGAGATTCTTGCATTTCTCCTCTCTCTCTCTCTCTCTCTCTCTCTCTCTCTCTCTCTCTCTCTCTCTCCGCTGCTTCAAGAGGTAATCAATCCGAACCATTTGCGTCTTTCATCTTCTCCTGTCTTTCTCTTGTTATCCTTTTCTTCCGCTAGTCAGATCTGCGAAATTTTATGAATTTGGGAATCTCAAATCGCCTAATTGGTTCTCCCAGTCCGTGTAATGTTTATGCCGAAGCAAAGTTTTGATTTTTCAGACATGGGTCATACCCATTCCTTTGTTTTCAGTCTAGACATCTTAGGAATCGGGAAAAGGCTGGATGCTTATGGGTGTATGCTTTTGATGGCGTTTAGTTTGCAGTCTGGCTTTGGCAGGCTTTTTCGAGACCCAGGTGGAAATTCGCGCTGACGAGTAATCGCGTCTTGAACCGGAAATAGACCAGAAAGAATGGGTTATATCGGAGCTCATGGTGTAGCAGCTCTCCATAGGTACAAATACAGTGGCGTTGATCACTCTTATCTTGCCAAATACGTGCTTCAACCCTTTTGGACCCGATTCGTCAATTTCTTCCCGCTATGGATGCCGTGAGTATCTCTTTGACACTGTTCCATCTGTGTTCCCTATTCATTCCAATGTTCTGGCTTTTGATGAGTAACTATGTGCGTTTGCAAACTTTCTGGATTCTAGTAGCTATTTTGAGATCTTTTAGTCTTTTGGTCCATGTCTGGTTTTCTCTTAGTTTTCTGTTGCTTCATGGTAAAGTAGTTGCTCACGGTGATAATTTCTGTAGATTCATCTAAATATCTGACCGACGTTTTGTGATTCTTTCCTTTTCATGTGTTTTCCTGTTACTGCCGTGGAACCATGTGCAGACCCAACATGGTATATAATTCTTATTCTGACACCCTGCTTTGTGTTTGTTGTTATGCAACTATCACTTCATGTTAATTTTTGTGGTTTTATGTTATGTTTCCCAGATAACACTCATGGGGTTTATGTTTCTTGTCACGTCCGCTGTGTTGGGTTATGTAAGTTTATCTTCATATTTTTCATATCCTTTTTTTGTTAGTTGTGGATGCGTTTTCTGCTTTGCTCAAATGAATATTGTTTTTATTAAAAACATTTCTTCCTGCTTCAGATATATTCACCGCAGTTGGATTCGCCCCCTCCACGATGGGTTCATTTTGCACATGGTTTACTTCTATTTTTGTATCAGGTTCGCTCTTCTCTCGTTATTGGACTTCACCGAGCTTTTCCATCTGTTTTCTTGGTTGGTTTTGGTGTTTTATATTACTCATTTAGAACCCTTTTCATTGCATTTCAGACATTTGATGCTGTTGATGGGAAGCAAGCACGCCGAACAAGTTCCTCCAGCCCTCTGGGAGAGCTTTTTGATCATGGTTATTGATTTCTGTTATCCATGTTCTTCCATGATGTTTTTTTCTGCATTTGTTTTGTGTATGTCGCTGATACGTGTAGTTCCTGTTGTATATGGCAGGTTGTGATGCACTTGCTTGTGCGGTATGGATTGTCCACATTTTTATTTTTCATTTCCCATTTCTTAGTTACACTTTCCTTGAATGGTCCTGATTGTTGCAATAAAAACAGTTTGAGAGCATGGCATTTGGGAGCACTGCTATGTGTGGAAGAGATGCTTTCTGGTTTTGGGTTATTTCAGCTGTTCCCTTCTACGGAGCAACATGGGAACAGTGAGTGGTCCGCGCATTTTCATCTGTCTTTGTTTTTTTGCCCATAGTAAAAGGTTGTCAAGTGGAAAATTGTTGCATTTTCTGATTGTTTGTTTATCCTTATCTAGCTATTTCACCAACACCCTTATTCTTCCGGTAATCAATGGACCTACAGAGGGTCTTGCACTTATATATGTCAGCCATTTCTTCACGGCCGTAGTTGGTGAGCTTCTCTCTTCCCAAACATGTTATTTCTGTCTCAAATTCCTTCTCTCTAGCGTTATGTTCTTTTTCTGCTCTCTAGGTGCCGAATGGTGGGCTCAGCAGTTTGGGAATTCCTTGTCATTGTTTAGTTGGGTGCCATTTGTTAATGGTAAGGACTCCTCCTCAGCACCCAAACCCATCCACAATGTGACGACAATCTTGTATTGATATGTCCCTGATCTTTCTCGGTTTCAGAGGTTCCGACATACAGAGTTGTACTGTACATGATGGTTGCTTTTGCCGTCATACCAACTGTAGCATTCAAGTAAGTTTTTCCATTATTTAACAACTAATTTACCAGCTTTAAAGATTTTTGGCAATACGGTAATAGTTTCTGCATTATCTCTTATGTGGCTGCAACTTTTGCAGTGTGTCTAATGTTTATAAAATTGTTCAGTCAAGAAAAGGGAGCATGCTGCTCGCGTTGGCTATGGTAATCTCCTGACGATCGTTTGATTCGTGGGCACGTGTTTCGGTTCTTAAGTCTCTCTGATTATATTCTTTGATCTTTGTTTTCAGCTTTATCCCTTTGGTGTGCTTCTTGGAGGAGTTTTGATTTGGTAAAATCTCATTCCTTGCATTTTCCTCGGCCCATGATCTTACCTTCCTTCATCGAATTTCCGGTATCATCTTTTACAGGGATTATTTGTCGCCAACTGATCTCATGGGAACGTATCCTCATCTAGTTATACTGGGAACCGGGCTTGCATTCGGTTTTCTTGTGGTAAGATTTGATATTTTTTTGTTTGTACTGTGTTCTTTTTCTCCTGGTAATGCAGAAATATTAGGGTAATACAGCAAAATTGTAATGGGATCTTTGACATTTTCAGGGAAGGATGATTCTGGCTCACCTGTGCGATGAGCCAAAAGGGCTCAAAACCAACATGTGCTTGGTATCAATCAAAAACCTTTTCACTATCTTTATATATATATATATATATATATATATATATATATAATATGATACAATTTTTTCTGCTCATTCAATGTTCTGATTCTATCTGATTCATCTCTTAGACCTTCATGTACACATATGCTCATAGCTTTTCCTATTTTCTGATGGTTTCATCTGAGTAAGCCGTGTGTTCGTCTCATGCAGTCGTTGCTTTATCTTCCCTTGGCAATTGCAAATGCCCTGACGGCGAGACTGAATGATGGGTATGGTTTGATTCTTCAGAGACTTCATCCTGTTTTTCCTTTTGATTTGCTCGTTACCAATCCCGAGTCCAACATCTTTCCGGTTGCATAATACGTTTTCTGCAGAGTTCCTTTAGTTGATGAGTTCTGGGTTCTTCTCGGCTACTGCATATTCACTGGTTTGCCCCACAATCTCTCCAGATTTCGCTGCCAAGATTTGTTTTTTTAATCTTTTTCGGGTTTTGGCCATTGTTTTTTCATGGAACTTTTTTTTTTTAAACCCAAACCTTGACTTGTTTTTTGCTAATGGCAGTGTCATTGTACTTGCACTTTGCAACTTCAGTCATTCATGAGATCACTTCGGCCCTCGGGATCTACTGCTTCAGGTTAACTCTTTCGCCCCGTAAAGAACGGGAAAGAACTCGATCTTGGTCGGAAACAGTCGCCTGAAATGCTGATTTCATCTTTTATATACGGTGCAGGATTACTCGTAAAGAAGCCTGAGAATAAACCTTCTGAACTGAAAGAAGATCTACGGGGTATGCCCTCTCTCTTCGGTCCTTCAAGTTCACATTTTTGGCGTGACATTGATGGATGATACGCGTTCCATCTTTTTTCAGGGGTTGATCAATTTTTATAAGTTCAGTCAAAGATGATTCTGGGTCTTTTGGGGTTTTTCCTTTCTTACATTTTTTTTTTGGTTGGCATCAGATAATTTATTTATGATTTCAGTCGGATGTTTTGAGGAAATTTTGGAAATAATGAACTATTATAAGCTTCGTTACGAAAAAAAGTAGATGTACATTATATTTTATAAATTTGATTAGATTTTTGGGGTTTGTCTTTAAACTTGTTTTTATTCGATTGTGCTTATATGTGTGGCGGTAACCTTGTATTGTATATAATGGGCGTGTACATAATGGGATTGGACCTATGCTAGGGACCGCAATGTTTGTCGGTATATGAAATATAATGCAAGATAAAGCAGATCTATTAGCCGTATCTGGTTAATCGAATTAGTTATCGGACCGGTTCTGTCTAATCGTAAAGGACCGAATTTAAGAACAAAAATGATATTTAATTATTAAATGCCTAACAGCTATCGCAGAGATATATACATATGTATATATATGTCACATCCGCACGTATGGACGCATAGTGCATAATGATCATTCAATTTATCATTGATCAACCAATCAAATCAAGAACCGAATTGGGTTGGCTGGTACGTCTGGTTTTACTTTCGGTTTAGGTTCCGATCTGTCTTAACCGGATTCAATCGAACCGGGTCAGCAAGTAGGAGGGCCGAACTGTGGAAAAGCTTGTAAAGAGCATTAAAACTAATGAGAAAGCAAGATCTCTTGTCTTTATGAATAAATATTCAATCATGAAAACAAGAGAATAATTCATGGACAAAGGAACAATACAACACAATGATTATCAACACATTATAATAAAAAAGATCTATCTATACGGGTTTTAAAAAAAAGTAATAAAAGATTGGAAAACAAAAATTATACGTAGAAAAAAAGAGAGAGAAAAGCATTATAATAAATATATTTTTTTTTAAAGAAGGGATAATTTAAAGAGACAAAGCATACCTTAGAACATCGACATGTCTAGAATGATGCTCTATTGTTCAAGCATGCTGCTTGGGGGCGTGCCGACTCCTGCATTATCTCACTTTTTACCCACCCATTTTCTCTTCATTTACCTTTTTTTAAAAAAATTGATATATCATAATTTATGTTTTCAAATTATAGTTGGTAAAATATTTTTTCACTTTTTTTAAAAAGTCTCTCGACACATTTAACGTTTTCCGAATTTTCACTTTTTCTAATTTAAAATTGAAAACTTTTGTATTGTAACGTTATTTATTAACTAAACTATGCATATAAAACACACACATGTATATATATATATATATGCCATGGAGATTTAAAATAACATAAAATGAATTTCTTGGGCCATACCATGCCTCGGGGGTTGTATGATACACTTTTCTTCTTTGGATGATTGGTAATTATTTTACAAAAGTCAAAACCATTTATATATTATTTCATTGTATGTGCTTCGACCACACAAAGAATCAGAAAACTTTGGATCGTACCATTTGCATATTTTATTTCTGTGTGAATCAAACTAGATTTTGTTTTTGGAAATTCTTCCTATAATTGTTTTTAATGTAAATCTCGGGAAAAAAAAACTAATGTATAGAGGGGAGGGGGGGGGGGGGAAAAGTCAAAGAAGAGACGGGGGCGGT